TATAACCAAACCTATGCCTAATAGCTAAGGACTTTATGTTGTAATTAGACTCTGTAGCTGCTATCGTAGCCATGGAGCCTAATTACAATATGAAGTCCTTGCACTGCATAATACAATATCAGACATAGTACACTCATCTCTAACTCCCTTTAAGCAACTCAAGTACCTAGTTCAACAATAAATTGACTATACGAATTGCCACCTTCAGCAAATCACTCAAATGCTTTTTTATCCTTGTCTGTGTCTATTAGAGATTTGACCTGCTATAAATTTTGTATTTGGGTTACCCGCCCACATATAAAACCCTTATCTGGGTACAAAACTGGGTTGATAAAAAATTTTTAGGTTACCCAGATAACCCAGATAACTCATTACTAAATATCAATAATACTGTAATACTGTAATACAGTCATCCTTCTATACAATCACACAGTTGGGCACATAGTAACTTTTTTTAAAATGTGATTATAGAGGAGTTGTGCTTATATAGAGGTTTTTTCTTATAAATTAAATTATGGTTTGGCCTAAATAAAAATGTGATTACATATAATGTAATTATATAGGAGGTGATTATATGGAGAGATGACTGTACTATAATAGTCTTTAAATATACTCTTCTTAGAGATTTAACAAAATTTTCTTTTATTATAATTAGAATATTTGAATCAGGTACTAAAGCATGTTAAAACAATTTAATTTAAAAATAAAAGCAGAGGTATTTATATTTATTAAAGAAAAAAAAAAGAAAAAAATTTATAAGGTATGCCAATAATATATATATTAATAGATTTAGCTTATACTATACTAATTAAGTTACTATTTCTTTTTAAAAATAATATCTGTAAAATAGTTTCAGGATTAAGACAAGTTTGTTTTGGTGTTACCTGATTTCTAGCATTAGAGAATAGGTATTTACTTGGCACTGAAGTGGCAGATATTGACAAATATTTTTTTGCCAATTGACTCAGTTTTGGAAAATCTTTTCTTGTTCTTTTCATCATATTAAAGGTTGTAAATTGACAAGTACTTTATTAACATCCAAGTATTTATCAAGCTCATCATTAGGTGAATTGTCATCTTCATCATCATCATTATCAAAAATTGATGCAAAGTAATGGTTAGTTGGTGGGATTGTTTTAGAAGAGGCAGTGGTTTGAATAGGTTCTTTATTAATAATATTATTAAGTTCTTCTCAACATATACTAATTGTTCTTTCCTGCAAATATGTAGGCCAAAATTATATTTTTTAAGTCTTGGGTCCAATAAGTTTGCTAAAAGGCTTATATCACTTGGATTATTCCAATACTTCCAAAGTGAATAATAAATAGCTTTTTTAACATAATCAACTATTAATTAAATATCAGATATTTCTGATAATTGAGTACTATCTTCTTTATCTTTACTATTATTATTCATATTTAATTCTAAATACAAAAAAATTTATTTTATAAATTAGTATTTTAGTAATTTTTTATTACATTTTTATTAACATTGAAATTTATTAAATTTTTTTACCAAACTCTAAAAAAATATCTTCAGTCAAAGTTGAATCTAGATTTGTTATGAACTCAAGTTTCAAGAATTCGATAGTAGGATATACGATTAATAGTGTAGAAAATTTTTTAGTACTAAATGCCTTTGTTGCTTGGTCAAATGGTTCAAAAATTTTAACTAGCTTCTCGATTAGTTTCCATTCATCTTCACTAGGTAAGCAATGTTTAAGCTTTTTACCATCTTTTTTATCTTCTAGATTTCATGCAATTTTTAAATTTGCCTCCAACCATATAATTGCATCTTTCAATTTCAATAGCTTTTTCCAAGAATGATACTTTGAATTCTATCAAGTTGGACAATCTTTAATTAAATGAAGAGCCTTAGAAGAACTTACAATTGGATGTTCCAAATTTATAGTATTCTCATTATCAGAATTTTTATTCTTATAATTAAATCCAACATTAGTTGATTCAGAAGGAGGTATTTTATCTCTTTTCATTACTATAACTTGTGCATTTTTTAATCTTTCTAGTTGCTTTGGAGAATTAAAAAAATTTATTAGTTTTTTTATTTTTTTTGTTTTTGTACAGATTTTTTTTAATACAAAGTTAACAGTTAATTGTAAGGTGTGTGCAGTGCAAGGAAGTCAGGTAACAGAGTTCCATATTCAAATAGCTTTAACCATATTTGCACCATTATCAGTAACAGCACAAATAACCTTATCTTCAAGACCAAACTCACTACATTTTTTTGAAAGAAATTGATGAATAGATTTTAATGTATGTGGATATGGCATTTTTTCGCAATATATTAATACACTATGTAATAGCCAATTAGGGTCTATCTAGTAACAAGTAATACCAATATAACCTTTATTTTTATGTGATATTCATAAATTAGTAGTAATTGTAGCCATTTTACAAGTTGATGCTATTTCAAGCTGAAGAATTTCAATATTTCTATAATAACTAAGTGCAATTTCATTCTTTATTATTCTTTCTGAAAGTAGCTGAAATTTCAGGTCAACTTTTGCTATCATGCAATGAACTCCTTTTTTTCTTAGTGCTGATAATGGTTCATTATCAAGAATTATCTACTCAACAATTGCTTTATTTAATTCTTCAAGCTTTTCATCTTTATGTGGAATATCTTTTTTTCTAATTCAGTTATTGTAGTCTATCATACTTGTTCAATTTCGGATTTTAATTTTTTACTATCAACAATATTATGTGAGCATAAGTGTGAAATTATATTTGAGATCGAGTTGTCATGAATATAATCTCTTTCACATTTCTTCTCTTTTCCATTTACTTTGATTATAACTTGACATATATCTTTTAGTCTGTCTTTTGTTTGAACTACTTTGAAATGGTCCCATACAAAACTTTTTTTATTATTAATTTTTCTTCTTTTACTCTTTTTTTTAGTACTAGTTGGTGCAGTTGCCAATGCAGCTGTTGATGTAGTTGCCAAAGAGAGTATACTTTCACTATCATTTTCACTACTATTTTTGTAAATATAAATGGTTTGTTGAACACTTGAACTATATTCTTCTTGAGAATCTATTCGCTATTAATTTTGAGTTTAGAATGACCATAAGAAATAGGAAGAAATAATAAAAAAGAAATGTGAATCAGATAAGAAATTAAAATTTTATTAAATTTTTTTTCAATTTTAAATTGTTTACTATTTTATTTATTTATTAGACCAAAATCTGAGAGAAAATTTTATTAAGCAAATTGAATGTTTAAATACATTCAAAAATTCACAAACAGTTAGACAAATTTTCTTTTATATATTCATTATAGATTTTAAACTAACTATTAAGAATTAAATAAAATAGCTTTTACATAGTTGTTATAGATAAACTACTAGAAAAATAGATTCACAAGTCACTGAAGAAATGAATAGATTTTCTTTTTCATAGCATTGAAAGAACTTTATTTTCAATTACAAAGATAAATATCATCACAGAACTTTTAAGATCATTAAAAAAAATATCCTTTTCGATCAATTCATTTAAGTATAAACAATTCTTTGTATTTTTCATTCTATCGCTGAAGCAAAAAATAAGTTAATCAAATAGATATCTTATCAATTTCCAGTACTGTAATGATTAACATGACTATGATGGTACAATTATAGAAGGTGAGTGACGACATAAAGAATTAGACAAATACAGAAGTGAGAAGACACAGGAAAAATTAATCGTTACAGTACGAATTATACCAGGCTAGTAAAAAGTAGCTGAGCAGTGACCTTTTTTTAATCACTATAATTATCATTTTAACGTTTAGCAATAATTAAAAATTGTAATAATTTTTAATTTATTGACAATAATTACTAAACGTTAATGATAATCATAGTATAAACAATTTCTTTGTATTTTCATTCTATTGCTGTATTGAAGCAAAAAATAAGTTGATCAAATAAATATCTTTCAATTTCTAATATGAATTATACCGGGTTGGTGAAATGTAACTGAACAGTAACTTTTTTTTAATCACTATGATTATCATTTTAATGTTTGCAATATTTTAATTTATTGACAATAGACATTAAAATGATAATCATAGTAATTAAAAAATAAGGTAGCTGTGCGACATCATCGCGCAAAACCAGAGACGGGAAAGTATCTAGATATTAAGTTGTTTAAAATTTTAAGTTGAATTAGAATTTTGTGATAATTGATCTGATATATTAAATTTAGATCATGTGCACAATTATGGATGTTAGTCAGTTCAACTAAAATTGGTCTTGCGCTCTGTTTTAGGACTGGGCCAGTCTGATTTTTTATAAACGGTCAGCCTAATATGGTATAAAATCATTTTAACAAACACATATAGCCTAATTTTTTGTGGTTTGTTGGGGTTAGATTGTGAGCACTATTGTAATATACAGTACAAATGTAAGCAGGGCACCATGCATCTTGAATTCAGATAAGACTAAAATTTATAAACAATACTTTGTATATAAATTTTAGAAAATCAAGTTTTAAGAATCATAATCAGCACGAATAATAGATTATTTAAAAATTTCGATTAAAAATTTATATTGATTGAATTGACTTGAATAAAATATTGCTTATGGTTCAAATTAGCACAGAAAATAAACTAATAAACCTAATAAGTGCATACATTATTTTCGAATACTCTGATTAGCAAATTATTTTGCATTTACCTGTTAAATTTATAGTCATCTAAATAAGTGAATTAATGTGGAATGGCAGATAATTTATAACCTTTGTGAGATAGAGTAACTTAAAGGGCAGCAAAATTATTTTAAATATTGAATAAATTTACATCACAAAAATTACATCTTTAAATATATTTTAAAAAAGCTTACATATAAGATTATACTCTTTATTAGATAATCGACGATAGCATAATTTCAAATTTGTTATTAATAATATAATCAATGAATCTAATTAAAGAAAACACACAATTTCAATGCCAAAACTTGTTATTTTAGATTCTGATTAACCTCTTACAATACAAAAAAAATTTATATTTAATCATGTCTTTATAATGATGTTATTGAGAAATACCTTGGCTCTGAACGATTATTATATAAAGTCAAACTTATATGTTTATTATAAACTTAGACAAATTATTTTTTTAATACTATATTCATTAAAAGTAATGAATATAATATCTGTATGTTAAAAAATCAATATGGGTGTATTATTTTCAATAAATTTAGTTTCTATCTAACTATTTGATCAAGTTGCCGATACGATTTACTAATTTCAGGTTTATATCATTCACATAACAAATCATAATCTATATTAAGTAAAATGTACAGTACAAGTAAAACATACTGTTATTAATCAAATGATTATTAATGTCCTTAAAAATGAGAATGAACAAAAACAACAAGTAACTCATTATGAACAATACTAAAATAGAGAAAGTACAAGAAATCACTCAAAATACGTATATACTAGTATGTAATATGCATGTGCATACCTGATAAACAAAAATTTAGATATAATCTGCTAATACAGATAAAGAAACTTCATGCTCAAATTAAAAAAGATCGATCTACATATAGAGATAATTTAAAAAGCCCATGAGTAAATTAGGAAAACCTAATCCACATATAGGTGGAAAAGCCTCATACGCAATTTCTAATCATAGAGGCTTATGATATCACTCAGTAATGTTTTATATATGTATGAGTGCCACCAAGAGAAAACATGTCATCAGACTTTTAATTATATTCTATATACAGTTAACCGTCTACGACGAAGAATCAAGATTTTTTATAGATGGTTAATTGTATACAAAACATAAAGTCCGATAACAGGTTTATCTTGGTGGCTCTCATATATATATAAAAACCCCTTTTATATAAAACAGGTCATAAGAAGACTTTTGTATGATTGGCTGTTTAAATCAATTTAATTTTACATTATTTATACAGTTTAAAGTACTTTTTAAAAAAAGAAAACTACGAAGAATAAACTAAAAAAAAGTATATAGAAAGCTTTATTAGAGTTGTAGAACTCCACTATTAAAAAGTATCTAAATCCTTTTTTGTTTTAGAGAAGTTAGCATAATAGCGACTTCTTAAAGATAGGTTATCACCATGCTAACTTCTCTAAAACAAAAAGGGATTTAGATACTTTTTAATAGTGGAGTCCTACAATGCTAATAAAACTCTCTATATACTTCTTTTTTGTTTATTCTTCATAGTTTTCTTTTTTTGAAAAGTACTTTAAACTGTATAAATAATGTAAAATAGATTGATTTAAACAGCCAATCATACGAAAGTATTCCTATGATAAAACAGGTTTACAAAAAGAAGTGATTATATGATGGATAAAAAAGAGATATCTAATCAAAAGCATGGATTTGTACAGAAACACTTCATATGCCGCTTAACCATACACTCCGTTCCTGGTATGACTGTCAGTTAACATTGATAGTATTTTATAGATAACAGAAAATTTTAAAAAGTATATCATGTTAGATCAGAATAATAATATTGCACACATGTGAAGTCAATTAAATGACTCAATTTTAAAATTTTGGGGTATTTTACAAACCTGCTGTAATGATTACTTTACCATCTTCTGTATGCATTATGTTTTTTTTAAAAAAAAAAATGATATAAACTATTTATATGATCTACACTTACTATAAATTTCATAATGTAGTTACAGTTGTTTTCATCAATTTCTGAGACAATTAATGACTGAATAAATAAAATACGTTGTTACATGGGAATTGCCTTCTGATATCCCTATGATCATTGCATGTACTACCATGGAATATTCAGGGATATTATAGACTTACCCCTTTTATTTCTTTTATTTATGACACACGTGCCAACAACTTAAAGAAGAACTTGATTGGTGTGGCATATAGTTGCCACAGCAATGATCTTATTGAACTTTCCAAACCATCAATCGCTAATAATCGAAGGATAATCGTCCTACTAATCTTCGTACTGACCCCATATCCGTATTATCATACATAGCACCCTATTTCCCAAATTGTTACTACTATACACATCATCCTTAGTTACCATATCGGTCTTGATATTGATGATGTGAAGCATAGGGACAACACATGCCACGACATCAATAGTAGTTCCTAAAAGGGTCTATTCGCTACTGCATCAATGATCTTAACACCAAATTGGCCTTATTGCCACTGCTATTTGGACAAAAAGCTCTATCCTGCCTGTGTCATCCATGCAGATGAACAAGAAATGAACAAACTTAGGACTTCACATGAAATTATTATCCTAATCATGACGGATCAAAGCCCGTTGAAGATAAAGAGCTGAAGCATGCGCGTGAAATAGTGAAGGGATTGGTGTTAAAAAGAATGGAGGATAAGTTATAAAATAGATCAATAGATAGTAATAGATGTCTATTGTAATTAATTATATAGCCATGTTAGATATTTAAAGGCCGTGAATTTGCCTTAACTTAGTTTTTCAGTCTTCGACACTCTTTAATAATTATATATCTTCATATATAGTTCCCTTAATAGAATAGCTTCAAATTCTCCACTGTATTCCTTTTAACTGTTTCTATACAGTTATCTTTTGTTGTTATAATAAACTCGTATGTGTCTTCATACATGTTAAAATTCATAAAGCCGTGTTCATGTGTGACTCGTGACTCCTAGTTGTTATATTGATCACGTGTGACTCGTAATTTCTTAAGTTATTTTCAGCTACATATCTTCATATATGTTTGAGCTGTTGCCTCTTTTGTAAAAGCCTTAATAAACCTCTTCCTAAGTCATTGTAATAACGCATCTTAAACCCAGCCAAATCATTCTGAGATAGACTAAACCATAGTTCCCAGAAGTTGTTTTAGAGGTCAACTTCAGGTGTAGCAATGTACGAAGTCAGAATCAATAAGTAACAACATCAGAAGACAATTTTTTCAGTTGTTCTAGAATTTATGAAAACAGCTGTAACTCGACAACTTAGTGATTAACCATGGCATAGGTGTATAATTACAATAATTATTTTCTAATTTCATTTATTTTATAACTTAGCGAGCTATATCAAATTTTATTTTAAAAAAATATTAGAAATGAATGTAAATTCTGTATTTGAATAGTATCAACAAATCCGCTAAAAACGGATGATAATATTGATTAGCTATTTTATCATTATAGAAATGCGGTTCTGTAAGATTTCAGCAAAGCTGCTTAAGGTGGTTATTATTATAGTCAATATCGAATTAGATTTCTTTATAAAATATATGAAATAGGAATTTAAAAAAAATAAAAATAAAAGCAATTCGTGGTTTGAAAAGCTAAAGACAATAGCAGTGGAGTAGTCATTTTTTTTAGAAAAAGGTTTAAAGATATTATAATTGACATGATTAATATTTAGTTGTTAATAATTTTTGAAATAGGTTAATTTAATTGTACTATTCATTGAAATAGATAAGAATAAATTACTTTTATGTAAAAATGGTTGTGAAACAAAATGTATTGTTATCGTTATTTATGTTAATCGACACAACTAGTTGATAAAGCTGTCATTAAACGATAGGCTTCTCATATGAAATTAATAAAATTATATAGATATGCTAAATTGACTCACCAAATGTAACAGTATTAGTAGTGCAATTAGTAGAGATGGGCTATAAAAAGCTTATGAATCTGTTGAAAGAAAAAGTATTACCAGACTATTGTGTAGAAATAACGAATGAGTTCGATTTAAGAGTACAGTATCAATGTATGGACTAGGAAAATCATGTACTGCATTTTCAATTTTTTTTTTTTATTCAAATTAAAGTATTGAGTAATCAAAAAAAAAGGAACTTAGTATATAATAATAAATTATATAGATGAATATAGGAATTAACGACAAGGTGTTGGGTATAGTAATAAATTGCCATTTAATATATGCAAAATTTAATCATCAAAATTTTAATTACCGTATCGAAGAGCGATTTAAACAGTTCTTTGAGAATTTTTTTCTCTTTCGCACGATTCTAGGATGATCACAGTACGAATACTAAAGTTCGTCTAATTCCAGTTAGTCATATGATTTCAATATTTAATTAAAATTAGGGTTAGAATTAGTTCAGCATTAGGGTGAAAAAACTTATAGATAAAATTACTCCCCGACATTTTTTATTAATGTATCGAGATAAATTTGGATAGTCATCTGTATTTAATAAAAATTTATAAGTTGAATGACTGGTAGATACGTACGTGATTGGGCACAACATTAAAAGACAATTTTAAGGGATTTCTATGTAACTTTATGTGTAATTATGCTGTAATTTTTTTAAAAAAGAAGCTGTATACGTCAAATAATTGCTTAAAGAACAGAACTGGTAAAAGATTTCTCAGGTTGTTTTACTCTCCCTACCTCCGAACTGTTTTTGCAAAGGATTCAAGGAGCAGTTTTAATATTGAATAAGTACACACCATACTTTGCAGAAACTAGATATTTTTTTTCAATAAAATTAAGATAATCTTAAAGATATTAATACAATTATTAAAATTGTATTTTTATAATAATTTTATAATAATCTTATAATAATCTTATAATAATTATATTATATAATTATCTTAAAATAATTTTATAATAATCTTATAATAATTTTATAATTTTAAATTTATCTTATAATAATTATAATTATTTTAATAGACAATTTTAATGACAATAAAATATGTAGACCTTTTTTTATAAATAAACTCTACATACTACCTGGTTTATAATTACTACCTGGTTTATAATTACTACCTAAACGCATAACAATATCTCGTAATTGATTTTCCATTTTATCGATTTTCATTTTTTTAATAAAAAAAATTTTTCTTGTAAACTTTGCTTTCAACCTCGAAATTTCGTCATTATCTTCTTTATAAAAAAAAATTCCATATAACTTTTCCCACTTAATCTGAAAAAATTTCATAATCGCTGCATTAAGAGCTTCAACTTGTCCATCAACAACACTCGTTCCACTGTCTAATGTTCCATCTTTGATAACAAAATAATAACTATATCCTTTACGATCCAAGCCAAATTCACCATCCAAAAACGCAAACATATCAAATCCACAGTACTCCAATTCAAAATTCATACCGTCAATATCAATATCATAAAGAACCAGTTCATGAAATTTAATACCAGTAGGATAGTCAAGGCTCGGATTTTTAGCTAACGTAAAGAAACGCAACATCTTCTTAATTTCTTCATCAAAACGTGAGGATCTACCGAAATTATACGAATTCACCCTAGTTTCTTCAGAACATTCAAGATGATCCTTAATTTTAGAAGCATCATTAACATAAAATGTATTGTAACGATGTCGGTTACGTTTAACCATTTCCTTCACATCATCAGTTATCTTCAATGTACAATAAAAAAAAGACATAAACTTGCTAGAAAATTGCCACATAAATTTTTCATATCTTTTATATGCCTCCTTAAGATCCTCTCCATCCGCATAACGCGGTATATCCGGATTCCAATAATGAACAACAACAAAAAACATTTTGCTTTTGTAACGACCTAAAATGGCCGGAAACCCATCATTTTCAAACATAACACAATTTACATTATGATTGCGTAAATATTCATAGATCTTTAAAGATCCAACCCGGTGCTTATCTCTGTCAAGTAGAGCAGAATATTCGTTAAGTTGCGATAGGTTAGATAGGTTAAGAGGAGGCATGTTTAACTTAGTTTAGTTTATTTTAAGCCCTTATATATTATTTATACATTTCCTTTTTTGGTTAACTCGTGATCCGTAGTGAAAAAACATAATTCCAAAAAGAACTTATCCCCAAAAGTTGGGAAGATTAAAGAACACTGAACCCAGTGATCATCATGACAATCACTCGGCCTAGGTTAGGGTTAGTTTAGGGTTAGGGTAGGAGTTAGTTTAGGCCAGTTTGTTTAGTTCTGGTAAACAAATGACGTCATCATGTGATTGTCGATCACTGGGTTCAGTGATCTTTAAGTGTCCCCAAAAGTTTACTATGTTTTTTCATTGGTTCCCTGGCGGATCACGAATTAATTTATATACACTGTATTAATTCTAACCAGATATAGTAAATGGCCTGTTCATCTGATAATGACAAGTCATTTGTTCATTTAACGCTTAGGTAAGATTATAAATTTTGTGTCACCGTTTTAGTTCTATTTGGATTTATCCCCCCCTACTCCCCGATATATAATGTAGGTAGTTCTAGCATCCACTTATTTGTGCCGGTATAATAAAAAGGAAATGAATCAGCCCAACATAGAATCCGAACACATGCGAAAGAAAAAAAGAAACGACTCAAAAACTAGTGTTCAAATCGATATTTGTAGACTTCTATTTTTACGCACTTGTATAATTATTATATAACTAGGCTAATGCTGTGTCCGGAGCACATGATGAATTAAATGATGTAAATAATATCGATATGCAATATTTAAAATTTAAAATGTTAATAAATGATCATCGTATAACACAAATGCGATTTTTGTTGTACTGAATTACAAATTTGAACACGCGTCGGACGGACAAAAAATTTCCAAATTCTGAAATTATTTCTGATGTGATCTTCATAATGTTTATGTCTTCATCAAAAAGGGTAACTATTTTGGGACCAAATGCATCAAAAACGTAACTTTGTAACACTATGCGTAGACACTATGTGCCCGTCTTTTTGACCAAAAATTTTGAAGGATATAGTTTGATTACTTCGTTAGCATATTTTGACAAAATGAAACGAACTTCAGGCTAATAGCGTTAATTTCTAACTATTAATAAGACGTATATTTATTTGTCCCTAATTTCACCATTTATTGTAACAGATAAACAGTAATACGGACAAGTTTGATTTATTGTTATTTCCTATTGCGCGTATAATTAAATAACGTAATATCAATTTTCTTCATCACTATGAGAATAAATAGATTACTTCCAGGTTTTAATTTAGCAGTATTCAAATATTATAACGAAGCCGTAAAAGGAATTCTTTACAAATGAGTTTTCCTAAAAACTTAATTACCTGAAAAAAAAATCAATTCGTTTATGAAGACAATTTTGTAAGTTGAAGTCTTATACATAAATACCTTTGAAAATTTCTTATTACGTACAGTACATATTTATATAAAAAATTGTATACTTTATTTGCAATATGATACAATACATATTTCTGTCGTATTGCCAAGTTTGTACCTAAAAATAAAATTCGCCAACACACTTCAAATCTTCGACCAAATGAACAGTTAATAGATAAAAGATAAAGAACAGCTTCTAAGCAATTTTATTTTTTTTTAAAAAAAAAAAGTTCATTGTTCCACTGTGCGAATCATTTACATATCATTTGATTATGCATTTTGTTGTGCATTTAAGTAGTATTTATTTGGTCATTGTGGAAATGTTTTGCTGATTTTAAAAAAAAACACACACTGGCCGAATAAATTCAATGGAAGTACCAGTTTGGCATTGATGTTGAGAAAATTTTTGAAAAAGCCTTTGATTTTTACAAACAGGCTGCGGTTTAGGAGATGATGAAGGAATGTTTCAAATAGTGGAATTTTATCATTTGGGAATTCATGTAAAAAAGACAGAAATAAAGCATTCGGAAACGTCCAAATATAGATATGATTTTCACTCTCCGTTACACAGATCACTCATTGTATCGACCAGTCAAAATATCA